TTCCATCCCAGGGTACCATTTGAGATGATATTGGAATACCAGGTTTTAGATTACTATGTTAGAGAATTTTGCATACTTCTAACAATTTCTTTAAGTACTTTTTCTTGAGACTTCGTATTGCTGCTGCTTGTTCTTTTAACAGCTTTCTAACCCACTGCTGTTATATAAGTTAGCTTTTACAACTGGCTCTATTTAAGCACTTTAACAAGGCCCCGATGGGCAGAGGTGTGCAGATCTCAATGGAAGAAGTGGATCACGTGCACCTCCTCACCCTTGTGAATCTGGGCATGATTTTGGAAGAATTTTAAGGTCGTAACACTCAGATATGATATGATAGTTTTAGTATTTAGAGGAAATAAAAGAAAGCGGGGATGCCTAGTGACTAAGGAAATACTAGGAAGAAACTATTCCTACATGTTCATGCTAGAATATTGTGCTAATTTATTTATCAATATCTTTCTATTTTTGTATTTTTAATTTTATGCACTGTTTTTTTCTGTTCTAATGGCTGCCCTTCGGGATAGGCTGACCTCTGCTCTCCGTATGACATCCTGCAGTCGGATATTCGTCACATTCGAAAGACTGTTGACACTCTGCTCGCCCTCGGGGAGAAAACCCCACAATCAACTTCTACCTTTCGCTCCTGGGATCTAATAGGCTTTTGTCTTTTCCACATACTTTTTATAGTCTTGATGTATATAACTTATCACTGGAATGTGCTAACAGCATAACCTGTTCGCATGTGCACACAAACTTTCTGCTTTGTCTCTGACAAATTACAGGTACTTAATTTCCTTCCTTTGCCTTACGAACTTCTCCCTTTCCCTCGCTTCCCTTCCTTGTAATATCTTTATTAATATCTTGACATAGGGGAGAGAGGGAGTAGCATCTTGAAGGCAAGTTCCATTTCTTCTCTCCCCTCTAGCTCTAGCTTAAGAACTTATGTACCTCTTTATTTATAGTTTGTTTTCTTTTATGTTGCCTAGACTACACACTAAATGTGTTAAAGCAGTGAAGCTACTCTTATCCCACTTTTGGGTGTAGGCTAGATGTGTGTAACAAGCTAAACGGAACTGTGCATCTTTCTTTTTGTGAAAATCCAAGAATGCCACAGATATCGAAGCAACTGAGGTGGCACTTCACCAGGTGATAGTATTTTCTGAGTTGGTGCCAGTTATCTCCACATCCATTGTGTTAAGAGCACTTAGAGAACTATCTTTTAAATTACTGTTTCTTTTTAATCCTTTAGATTAACAAGAGTACTGTAACTTTAAAGATTGTTGGTCATCTCTACTGTTCCGATTAAATTCCGTAACGGAGTAGTTATGTTTTCCTACTTATATTTTGTTTTCCTCCAGATTCCATAGAATAATCTTTTCCTATTGTCGCACAAAGCTCCGTTGAACTGCTTTTAAATACTTGCTATGTTACACCCCAAAGATGACTGAAAATCAGTAGTGGGTATGAGCAACCCATAACGTGCAGGGGACTTCAGAACGTTTCAGGGTGAAGATGGTGGAGTTAGAGTGTGATGCAATAAGATAGTTTGAGAATAAGCTGTGAGATTTCTGTATCTGCCGTTCTTACGTGTGACATCAAGCAAGTCATGTCACTATCTTGTCTCTGTTCTGTCACCTGTGAAAATGCAGGTAATGTTTGTTTGTGTAACGAATGTAACAAAAAGAAATTTAGCTAGGAAGACAGATCATCTGGGAAGACTCTAGATTTTCCTTCTTAGGAGGTTTTAAGGGATAGTTTAGACAAACATTAGCCAGGGGGCATTTTGGTATTTGAACCCTGCCCATGATTATGCCTGTGCTGGACCAATGACCTCCATCTCCCTTCTAGTTCTGTGTTCTGTTCGTTCATCTGTTGTAAAACTTAAGACAAATCTTTTTGTTTTACTCCTTATCAACATGAACGGTACAAATTAAAATTGATTGAAAACTATAAAACCTCAAATAGAAACCTATATCGACATTGAGATATTGGCCTAGATGCCGTGGTCTAAATTTGCAGTTCAGTCTCAGGCTAGCTAACCAAAGGCCCTCTCATGTCTATGAAATAAAATTAATTTCTCACTGCCAAGTATATAAAAAAAATTACCTGTAGGCTTTTAGAGGATAACTTATATGTTACTGATTATTCTGGCCATATGGTTATGATTTAGTGCTACACTTATAAATATTACCGTTCCATAGATACTTGTAAAATTTTATTGAAAAACTTCTAAATGCAGTTCTGTTCCTGGTTTTCATGGCTCAAATATATGCATACATATATAAAAGGGATTAAATATATAATTAAATATGACTTTTAAGGTGGAAAAATTCATTTCAGATGAGGGCTAAATCCAATTTTTTTTGAAGGGTTTAGTGTCTAGCAGCTTCCAGTGCGTGCATATAACTCCTTTATAAAGACTGTCTTCTGTGACCAGGCATGAGTTCAGTGAGTGCTTCTAGGCTCCCGATGCTTGAGGAAAAGGGACTGGTTATTTAGGGGGGTAGCTACAGACTTGGGCCCTCATCCTGCACAGGCCTGTCTTTTAACTCCGTGCCTGCTTTCGGTGATTCCAACACGGGACACTTGCTTCCTCAGAGTCAGAGCTTGGCGTTTAAGCTTCCACTTCCAGCAGATCTTTGTCTTGATTTTGGTTGTCTTGTTTTAACGGTGTTGCTTCTCTAGTGAAACCGAGAAAGTGACGTAAAGCTTAAATCAGTTCAGAATCTATTAATTGTGTGATTCTTTATAATCCAGTGTCGGTATTTGAGACCAAAGCGATGTCTGCTCTAGGGCTGGGGTTTTACTCCTGCTCCCATAAGTGGCAAACAGGTCTCCTGTCCACGCTTTGTGTTGTGCGCTACTGATGCAGTACCGTCTCACATGTGTGTTTGAACATTTTTTTGAAATTAGAAAACCGGGTGGTGGAAGCTGTTGCTACCATCCTACAGTGCACATCTGTCCCATTGTCTGACATGATGTCTGCTTACCCACTGTACCCAGTTGCTCTGGGAGGGAGGTGAGTGGTAGATGAGCGTGCTTCAGGAGTGGAAGTTCATGTCTTCAGTGGTTTTGAGTTTTACCAGGCGAGACACTGGGTGAGAAATTGAACTGCTGTTGTGTCAGTGTAGACCAGCTGAACATACCCCAGTCATAATGACACGGAACTCTCAAACTTGTCCAGTGTTTTAACTTTACGTATGCTTACCTTGCAAGCAGAGTTCTCTTTTAGTTACTTAGAGTACATTTGCTCACTCTTCTCAACGATGGCAATATTCAGTAATTAAAGTGTAACGTTACAAGTACTTTCTTAGAGAGTTGAAGCCACCTCAAACCTGACTGTGAAAAATGAACATACTTGCTTCATGACAAGCACAGCCTTGCACGAAGCTTACCCAATTTTGTATTGTTTCAGGTTGTTCTTGATAACACTTTCAAATACGCATAAATCTTGCAGGGAAAGGTATAATAAAACACACCCTTACATTTCTCTAAGTGTGCCTATAGTAAGGTTTCTCAGAATATATTTCAAACACAATGCAAATGTGCAGAATACCTGTCTGCCCATCCCTGAAGCCAGTGCTCCCACTTAAATGGGGAGGTGGAAACTGAAACGTAGATGTAGCTCATTAATCTTACTCCCGTGGGTGCTTTGCTAAATTCAGAGTCCCGGTTCTGTGCTGCTGTTCCTGTGGCTTTAGGACTTGGGAAATCAACAGTTCAACTGGCTGGTGGTTCTTCATTTTTAAGGATATCCCAATACTGAGAGATTCAGCTATATACAATTGGTGCTTCCTGCTCACAGCCAGTCACAGGGTTAAGCTGATGACCTCAGGTTTCAAACCAATGTACGTTGTAGTTCACCCACGTATTTGCTGGTAACATGAATCATATTTGCTCCCCCATTTCTTTCCCTATTCAGTTTTTTTTTTTTCCATTGCAATCAATGTTCATCAGAGATTTTCAAACCGTGATTTATTCTTAAATTGGTCTGCTGCAATCTGCACGGTGCCCATCATACTGATTTCTCATTTATCCTGTGGAGGTCATCTCATCCATACTGCAATAAATAATAAATACAAATTGGAGTGGATAGACACGCAGGTAAAATGGGTTTGCACTGGAATACAAGTGGCGTTTTGATGTGAGGATTTGGCTTTCTTTTTCCTTGAGCCAGAAAACGAAAATATTTTCAAGTGCAGTGTAATGCAGTGTAGTAGTCCTTCAGATGCCTCTTGTATATTAACAAGCTTTTACAGCTGGAAGCTGTGTACGGATCCCGTTGTGTTCCCAATAAGTTTTCTGAAAGTTGCACTTAACGTGAATGGGGATTGAATGAGACCTGAGCAAACATTCATTCCAGTTTCCTACTCCATATACATTAATAAATTTCCAAATTATTGCCACGTAATTGTTTTTTTGGACAAAAAGAGGTATCCTTAGCGTTTTCCTCCCGTTACCGAAAAATGAAAGCAGTCATATCTGCAGGGTTATTAAAAATGGTAGAGCAGGATGTATGAACCTTTGCTGTTTCTTTCGTTTCTAGCACAGAAGCTGCATTATGCAGAAAGAGCAGTATAAAAATACCTTAAGATAATGACCCATTCTACTTTGATGACATACATTCCTTCACCTTATCTCTCAGAATTTAATGTCTCAGGTTATGGTATAATAGATATTTTCCCTGTAAGTATACATTTTCTCTTACTGTTCCGTGTCTGTCTGTCTGTATTAAGTTTTGTTCCTTCCAGTTTCAGGTCACTGTTTTCTTAGCATATTAGAATGAAACCCTGAGGCATCTCGGCAAAATATTTGGGCTACTTCTAAAATTTTATGGCTCAAGGCCCTAATTTGTAAAAGGGTCTGAAGCCCACCATCTGCAAATACAGTTTTGTAAATATTTTCAAGTTATTACATGTTCAGAAGATGCACATACTTAGACATCTAACTGGCAATGACTCCGAATACGGAATTGCAGCTGCAGTATTGAAGGTTTGGGGTTTGGTTTTTTTTTTTTTGTTTTTTTTTTTTTTGTTTGTTTTTTTTTTTTTGCTTTGGCAAATCTGGTCATAAGTGTATACTTTACAAAACATACTAATCTTTCCATTGGAAATTAAAAGCAAAAATTATTAAGTATACCTGTAGTCCGAATTACTGTGCTTTTTTTATCTACTACTCTTTTCTTTTGTACTTCAAATGGTATTTTCAGGGCATTCGGACACATACAGACATCAACAGTAATAGTAAATAAGGAAAATATATTTTGCATAATTTCAAATTGTCTTAGATATATGAAAAAATAAATATTTGCTGTAGTTTTTTCAACTCATCATGAAGAAAACTTGGCCTTGACCTAACAAAATTTCAAGGTTTTGTATGTTTGACAGAAGTTTGCTTAAACGTAAGGCCCTGATGTTTCTTTTTGTGACTTTCCCTTTCATAGTAGTTGGCTCCAGACATTAAACGATGAGCATTACATGGCCTTACTTTTTCAATTTGTCCTTGGAGAAACTACACATTCCGGTATTTCATTGTTCTATGAACATTTTATTTTTTTCCCTGTAGATCTGAAATCTCATATTCTACAAATACAAGGGAGAAAGGGAAAGGCTCTTGCCAAATTGTAGAATTCCATTGCTCTGTGTTTTTGCTAACAAATACAGTTAGGCCCTGCTCTTGTCGTGCCGTGGCCATTTCACTACATGCCCGTATGATATAATGGCAACAGTTACTTTTTTTTTTTTGAGAAATACTTACTGAATCTGAATTGCCAAGCTGCTTGCCCTAGCATAAACCGACTCAAACACTTGTCTTGACTTTGAAGTCACCCGATGTCAAAGAAAACAGAGAAGTGTGTGTCGTGTGTCACGGATCCTTGTGGGATTAGTGTCCTCGTGTGTCCCTGGTTTCCTTCTACACTTCTAACTCAGATGTTTTGCTCCAGGATTAGAAGCTTGCTCTGGCAAGCACATGCACGCGTGTGTGTCTGTGGGTGCACCTGTTGTACTGTCTTTTTGTGTTGCTTTGTGACTCAGCCTCCTGGCTCCTGCCTCCTTTTTGTGCCTCTTTTTTTTTGTTTTTTTTTTTTTTTTTTTTCTTCCCTCGTCAAAAGGAGCTTATTCCTCTGCTTCGTGATGAGTTTGAAAACCTCTTTATCCACTCAAAATGGCTATGTGACTGTAGACAGTGGTTGCTTGCAACTAGTAATTAAGTTCCTCTGTGTCCTTTGGGAGACAAGATGCGTACAAAATTTAGATCTTCAGTTTTGTAGTAGATAAAGAAGTGCGAGGTTTGTGCTGCTGTGGGTGGAGTGGCAGCCCTTCCCTCCACAATCGTTTGTAAAGATTTTTAGACTGGTCTTGAGAATTTAGTAGCCCGTTCTTCTGTCTGTCTTTCTGGGTTTTGTTCAGTGATGGTTTCGACAGGGGTATTTTTAGAGAGGTGATTCAGCCTACTGTATTGAAGTGTTCTGGGCTTAATGCTAATGTAAAAGGGACAGAAATCTTACCAGAAGTGGGGAGAAGTGGCTGAAGTTGAGTTTCCTCAGAGTCGTGGGCGAGTTGTTCTCTTGGTTGGTCAGGCATATTGTCTCAAAATGCCAGAATGTAAGAAGAGTTTTGAAATCTTCATGGCTCGGGGCTTCACAGCTGTCCCAGCAGTGGCTTCCCGATCGCAGCTGGGGCTGGTTAGAGGGAGGCAGAGGATGGAGAAGGGGCCGAGCTGCAGGACAGGACTGAGACACCTGGGATCTTGGCCCAAGGTAACTGCTGGTTACCGGGCAGAAAGCGGAGCGGATGGTCCCCGTGCTCTGGATTCCATCCTTGGCAGGATTGGATCTTTCTTATTCAGTGAAGAAGGCCATATATGACTCCAAAGCTGTGGTTTGGAAAGTGCGTGAGGCAGGGTCAACGAAAGCCATTTACAAAGCTTTGAAGATAGTGATTAGGGCTTGGGTAAGAGAATTGATTCGTGACACATGAAATTTGTAATTCTTAGGAGATGGCTTAGGCCGCCTTGTCGGTTTTTCTTATTCCTGGAACACAGTTACACAGTCCTTGTTATAGACCTCCCTAAATAGATTTCCTTGTATGCATCTTGTAAATGCAGCAGGGGGGGAGAGGTTGCCCTATACAAGCTGGATTGCTATACTGTATTTAAAAGAAAATGCATTGTCTCTAAAAGGAGACAAATTATATTGGATGAGGTTTTATATGGAATGGGGCATGCCCTCCTTTATGCTGTCAGTGAAAATGTAGCTGATAAACAGTTGCAAAGTTCCGATCAAGAATGCATGACAAAATAGTTATCCGAGTGATAGAAAGTGCTGTGAAAATGGTAAGTTTAGAATTTAATTTCTTCTAAAGGAAACGACCTGAACTGTGACTTTTTCAGCAAATTTGGCCTCAATAGAAAAATTGAGAATATTCTCAAACATAAACGTCTAGCAAGGTCAGTTGTTTTGGGGCTGGGTTTTTGGACTCAATCCCTGCCCTTCAGCCTTGCAACACTAATCACTTCAATTTTCAGATATTGGATTCAGCAGGCATTATTACTTAATGCCTTTTTGTCTGGTATGGAAAACTAATGAAAAATTGGCATGTTGTGGGCCACCAAAGCTGTGAGACGAGTCTGCTGTGCAAGGGCACCGGAAAGAAGTAGAAGAGAGTGGAGGGAATAACATTTCACTTCTGAGGTCTGATTTGCATTCTCAGCAAGCGAAATGAATAGAGTTTTTTTGAGAATGATCAGAATCAGAGTATTGTAGATTTTTGTAGTGTGGACTGCGGTCCCAAACCATTAGATTGGCAAAATATTTTTAACAAAAATCATACATTTGAGCTAGAAATGTTATGTTGGTTTTGTTTTCCCTTTTATTTGATATCACTCTCTCTACCTTCCTTTGTAGCTACTCTGGTGCTAATCAGGTGTCGATTTAGGAGATTGCATCCTAAGATATATTTATGTATTTTTCTGGAAAAAGACCTTCCAGAGGAATAATAGTTGGGGAGAGCTGTCTCTGACAGCTTTCGGGTCAGTATCTCAGTCAGAAGAACAAACAAGAGCGAACTGTGGAACTCGGTGTCTTAAATGACCAATTTGTAGGGCAGGTTTGGAATGGAAATCCGGGTGAGGAACTGGAATGGCTGCAAGGCGGGGGATGTTCCTTTGTGCTGGCTGGGCAAGCAGCTCTGTCAGAGAGGAGCCGGGAGCCGGCAGGAGTGGGAGGCAGTTGTCGCAGCCCTTTGGTCAACGTCAGTCAGAATCCACAAACTCAAGGGAAGTAGAAACTCAGCAAAAGGCCGGAACGTCGCAGCATCTTCCACGTGGAGAAATGTGTGTCGTCTGTCTCTTGCAGACCTACTCGTGTCAAACTCCTCGAAAATTGCCCGTTTGAACTTGTTTCTTGGGTCTGTGTGTGCAGAAGGAATCCACACTATTTGTTCTGGTGTTCTGGGCTACAGCCACAAACCTTAAAAAAAATTAATTACAAATTAAGTTTTAAAAAAAAAAATATCTTCTAAACATAATAGATATTAAAACATCTTAAGTTTTAAATGTCAAATGTAAACATAAAGTATAGAGAAATTAGTTATCAGGATCAGATGCTGTGAATAAAGCTTGGCTTTCCGTTTTTAGGTTCAGCAAGTTAGCAGTTTTTCTCTCGTTGAGGTTGGAACGGGGGGGCGGGGAACTTCACAAAAATTTAAGCAAGCCAAGTGTTGGTTGTGCATAAAGGAAAGACTCGTTAACAAAAGAAAGTCATAAACCTCAGAAGCAGCCGAGAGGCTGTTTAATACTGGTGCTATTCCGATGGGGCTGTGGCCCACTGGAGGAGATTTCCTGAGCAAAGACTGGACAACAGTGGAGTCAGATAAAAGCATTTAAACAAAGGTTCATAACGTGATAAAAACGGTGTTAATTGTTCTCGTAGGTACCAGTTCCAGCTCCATCATCCTGAATAATCAGTTTTAAGGGATCCTAGGGGTCAAGGAAGGGACTAGAGCTGAACAGAATGTGTCATGAGAAGAGAGGTGGAAGGGATTACTGATGTTTAAATTGCAGAGGCGATCAGTGTGAATGTGAGGAAGTGTGACAAAGGACCATGAACTGCAAAAAGGGAAGATAAGAGACCCTTAGCTGACATTACAGAGGGAAGAAGAATATTCCAGAGAAGACAGGCAGTTAACTAAAATATAATCTCAAATGCATCAGCAGTTTTAGAAGCTGGGAGGTTGTTGAACAGCTAAGAGGTTCAATGCTGAGAAGAACAATGCTCTCTTTCTAAAATAATCAGTAATCCCATGTTTGCTGATGGTCATGTACGGAAGGAGCAGAAGGTTAGGTGACAGAAATGGTGCCTTTTCCAACTTACAGCGATCTGATGCGCAGAGTTTGCGGACTCCATCAGCCAGACCCTGGATCCGTGTGTGTGTGTGTAATAGCGTTGTTTGGGGGGTTGTTGTTTTTGTTTTGTTTTGTTGTTTTTTTTCTATCTGTATATTTTTGTCATCTCACACTTTTGGCTTCTGTGTTGTGGCAGTAAGTCTCACAGTTGTAGTTATGGTTTATGTGATGTAGTCTAGCCTTTCCAGTTATTTTTGATAAACCTGCTGCCCGATTGCATAATTCCATGGATTTCCTTGACAGGAATACCCAGTTACGTGACGACTGGGGGTGTTTCTTGTTGCCTGTAGGGGATACAGTGTTTACTGCTTGACTGCCTTCTGGTGTAACAGCCTCTGTGGACAGGTTTCACCCTGGCCACGATTGCTGTGTCCTTACGGCGAAGAAAGTTGATTCCTGGATATTTCAAAATAAGCCGCTAATTATTCAGGGACGAAACGCTTTGCCGGTTGAACGCACAACATGACACGCACGTTTCTGTAAATGCTCATGAGTGGCTTCCAAGGTGCGTATCCTGGGACCGAGACCTACCAGTCTAGAGCTCAGTGGTAGAACTTTTTTTTGGACTGACAAAACCAGCCTTCCGTCCCTGAACTCGCTCACAGGGAGGAACGGGCCGATGCCACGTTACCTCACATCGTGGGTGAAGGCTCGGCGTGTACTGGTGGGGCCTCGCTCTTAGTTAAAACGTTTCCATACCGTAATGACCACAAAACCTGTTGGTTTCTGAGGCCCAGAATATTTCCAGATCTCTCAGTAATTCCTAGGTATAATGACAGCAAAATCAGAGACTTACTGTCCAAATCACAAGAAGTTCTGAGTTAAAATAGGAATGGGTTGTCGCTTGTTGGGCTTTGTTTTCCAACTGTGATCCTGTGAAGTGAGGTTTTGCAGCGAGTACTGACTATCCTAACCTTTACTCCTTTGTTTGTCTTTTTCTAGGAGAAGCTCTGCCTACCACATCACATCCTAGAAGAAAAGGGCTTGGTAAAAGTGAGCGTAACAGTTCAAGCATTACTAGATGTAACCACAGTGAAACAAGCTTTATTCACATGAAACTACTAATCTCTGCTGTTCCCAGCTCCACTGTGCCATCAAAGAATCAAAATACTGCCCATCTTTCCAAACTGCATTGGGGGGGGGGGGGGGGGGAAAAAAAAAAAAAAAAAAGCAGCAGTGTTTCAAGAGCATTCTTATACTTCTGATTTAAAAAATAATCTTTCAGACTGTACGTGTGCGTCGAACTACAAACCAGAAACTAAACAGAAACATTTTCTAGAGCAAATGGGCGCTTCACTGCTTTTGTAGCTCACTTTGTACAGTACTTACTGAACCAGCCACCTCTCTGCCACTCAAAAACGTGTGGAGTGCACAGCCGTCTTGCAGCAAGATACCTTCGTATTATTAAACTCAGAATCATTGTAATCGTTTGGGGGGGGAGGCAGGGAGAGTAAATATCAGACTTCTACCATCTTAGGGGGGTTTTTTTCTGCAGTTGCTTCAGGCTATTGCCTTTTAAAAATATCCAGACGTAAAATATTTATATAAATATTATTTATTAGTGAGTTGTTATTCATCCTTTGGATGCAAACTGTAAATTAGGAAACTGTATTTTATTACTGCTTTTTTGTGGTTAAACACTTTATTTTAATATAAATATTTAGTTATTTTTTATTCTACTTGGTGTGCAGTAGCTCTAGGTCTCCGTAAATTGTATTTTCTAATATGGAAGATAAAAAGCAAACAAAATAGGTGCTTTTATTAAAAGAACAGCTAGCTGGAATGGCATTCTTTATTTCTTGAATTTGTGGAACATTGGTAAAAATCTGTCTGCATTCCATTGAGTTTCCTACATTCCAGTAGCACCTTTCCCCCCACTAGACTCAATTGGCTGAAACCGAGAGCACACCCATTTTATTTGTATATAGCTGTTTAAAATAAAAATGAAAGATGTAAACTTGAAAAACAAATGTGAACAAATATTTTTGATTGCTTATTTTACTATGCACAAGACATTTAACTTTTGCCACAACAAAATGCGTGATGTGCGTTAGGATCATGTGTCTTGAACTATAATTTTGCACTGTAACTTGATTTCTTTGAAAGACTACAGCACTACAGAACAAAGAATAAAAAAAATAGCACAAGAACATTAACGAGATTTACCAGGTAGCCAAAAGATTTTAATTGTTTTCTTTAGGGATTCCTTCAAGAGGAGATGGCATTATTCAGATTGCCAGAGGCAGTCTTGGAGAGCTGATCTTCCAGGCCCAACCTGCTGGCTACCGTGCTTCTCCTTCTAGTCTCCATCGTTTTCCCACAGAATTAAGCACAATGTTCCGCAGTAAACGCTTGCAGGAGCAGACCTCTCATCCCACGTCAGCAATAGGAAATAAGGTTCTTTTTCTTATCACTACTTTAAAGAGATTTCCTTTTTTTTTTTTTTTTTTTTTTTGTGTTTTTGAAAGCATCATTTATTATTAAACCATCCCACGTTTTGGATCAAAAAGTTCCAGCCCAGCGATTCTCGCGGTACGTGGAACATCCATTTTTCTTTCAGAGGAGAAGCTAGTGATGGAACTTTGGGAAGCAGGACGGGAAAGCTGCAGGTGGTGAAGAGGCAAGGGGTCCGTGGTGCACACAGGCAGGTCGTTGGAAATGCGTAATGACAAAAAAAGAGGCAATGGGGTGGGAGGACTAAATATTTAAGGAAGAGGAGGCGGAGAGAACTATTGCGTAAAGACTTTGGGGAAGGCTGATGCAAAGTTGCAAGTAGTACATCGCCAGGCAGAGCTACACGCGCGTGCACACAGATGCTGCGTCGAGAACCACCAGTACTGCAATAGCACATTTTTAATGGTTAATGCAGTATTTGAATGCAGACTATGCGCTGTTATACCACAAATTGCCAAGGTGCTGGTATGTGCCGGCGGCGGCAGCATGTCAGGAGGAGGACAGTGGAGACAGTGAGACATACGGTGTGCGTGGAGTAGCCAGTTACTTCAACCAAAGCAAAAGCGTTTATTTTGTAGAGGGAACATTGACTCAAATTGTAATTTCCGATTGGCAGCTAGCATATTGTTTCCTACAAAATGTACTGTGCACTTTAACACTAAATTAAAAAAATGTATTTTAATATTTCACAGAGCTGCACAAATATCTGTTTTGTCGAAAAGCACGAGCAATGTAAAGAAAGTAAGTTTTCAAGTCAGAGTTTATCAAATTTTAAAAGCGTTCAAAGATCGAGTATAAAAAATAGGAATATTGATTTCTGCATCTTGAGGGATAAAATGCAGGTTTCCTGAGTATTTTTTTACAATGTATATATGGTAACATGAAGCTTTGTAATTATTATTTTGACAAATCTTGTTTTTTCATAATTAAAATTTTGGTTTTCTCCTGATAGTGTCTTTCAGTATTTGCTTGAAGTTGGCTGTAAATAAATAGCTCTAAGTATTTTGTAATACAGCTTTTTTTTATGCAGTCTTAACCTGTACGGCTAAAAAGAGAATCTTCATGAATCTTTGTACACTATTTATATGTGCAATAAAACATGCATGGCAAACCTATGATACCCTAAGAAGTGAACATAATGTCTATAGAAAATCTTGACGGTCGTTACAACTAAACTGTATCGTTTGTAGAAACCCTTGCAGGACTGCCCCTTGCCCGCCAGCTCCTTGTCAAAGACGTGGTGTTTGGCGAGCGTTCGGCATGACGCCGTGAGGCGAATAAAGGGATTTTACAGCTCCAGCTGGTGACTGTTGAGTTGCCGCTTCCCGCAGCTTTGCTGCTCCCCTTGCTCGAGCTCTCCCGCCGCTCCTTCAGGCAACAGGCGGCGCTGGAAGGAACTTCCAGGGCTGGGTGAGCCCCGGGGGGCTCAGCTCAGGGAGGAGGGCAGCTCCACCTACGCGGTGTCCCGATTCCCACTTCTCTGCACCGTGCAGCTGCTTTTTATTTATTTATTTTTTTAAAACCCCTCCCTGCCCTTCTTCTGAAATGCAGAGCTGCTTCCGCAAGCTTTTCCTTCAGCAACCAAAAGCTGATGATTTCTTATTGCCTGGATTGACCAGGATAAACGCGGCAGCGCTTCCTGGCCCCGGGGGGGACAGGGCTGGGCCAAGCTGCTTTGCCCTTCTCCTGTCTCTGCAGAAACACGTGGTAGGGACTACTGCTTGTACATCCCATCATACAGCCTTCTCCTTCCCGTGCAGCTTCTGAAGTCATTTAAGTGCAGATGCTGCTGTTTTACCAATTTCTCTAAACGAAATTTCTCTAAACGAAGCATCTTTACCTTAACCGGGTGGTTTTATGGCTGTATTTGTTCACTTGTAGTAGTAGATTGTGGAAGGAGAGGACCTTGCTGCAGTAACCTCCTGGGGAGATCCTGCCAAGGAAGCGTGAGCGCCCAGCCCGCTGCGTCCGAATCGGCGCGATTTCGGGCGGAGGAGTCCTGCAGCCCTCCTCGGGCCGGAGCCCGCCCAGCACCAACAGCCTCCCGGGTTTCAAACCGAGGTGGCGCGGGGACGCTCGGCGCCTGCACGACCCCGTCAGGCGAGCCCAGGGCCATCACCTCGGGGGTCGGCGTCGTCCCGCACCTGCAGCCTGTGGGCAAGGGCAGTTCAAGGGCCTCTTTCCTGCTCAAGCCTCTGGCACCAGTTTTCTAAGAACTCGGGGCAGTTTCTATAAAGCCCTGAGGTTGCTGACTTCCTGAAGCAAGGCCGGGGACTCACGAGAGCCTGTTAGATGCTTACCCGAATCTGCTGCCGCGCACAAGCCGAGGCAGCTGAAGTCCCTCTCAAGGAGGAAGGCAGCGGTGGATGTAAATACTCGGCTTTATCAAGAAAGCAACCAGGGTGGGAGGACAGTCAGTTCTCAGGAGCGCCAAGCGGACGACGGGACAGGTATTTTCAGCTCCCAAATTGTACCTGGGCAGTTGTTTGGGGAAGCTGATATAACTGATCTCCTGCTAGACTGTAAATTAAAGAGAACGGGCAATAAAGCTCCCCACAACCACCCACAGTATAATGAGAAACTCAGAAGTTTGCCATGTAAATTTATCATGTAGGAAAGAGGGTGTTTCCCCCCCACTTTCTACCATTAACCCAGCAGCTTTAAAATGGCAAATTACAGGGTTAAACCTGCTTTCTCCTCTCCTCTAATATAACACGTAGGTGCATAGAATCCCGTCAGGGAATGAAAAAAAACAGCATGCCCCCCTTGCCCTTACCTACAATTTTCAGAATGCACTGGGCAAAAAAAAAAAAAACCATTCCTAGCTTTGACAAGATAACAAATGGAAATGTTTAGCATTAGAAGTACCTGCGGCAAGCGGAACACCCCGACTCCACTGCTACGCTGTTTGTAGTACTGGGCACAAGGCTGCAGTACCAGCACAGCACGCTTCTGCTCCAGCCCAGTGCTGCCTACAGCCCACTAATTAATTTTCCCCCGGCTGCTGAGGAAGTAGGAGAGGAACAGTTAGAAGCTGCCACACATTAAAACAAGCTTTTGAGCCGATTTTACTGTTGTGGGAGCGGGAAAATCAAAATGTTTAACAATTGTGGCTTAAAATTTTTATGTCAGTGCCCCGCTTTATAAGAAAGGAAGAGTTGGGGTCTGTTGGAAATCCAGTGTGGAAAAAGTGCTGTCAGCATTTCAGAGAACTCTTGCAAGTCGTATCTTCCCAGCCTCCTAAGCTTGCTTCAGAAATCGGTAGGTGCAAGATTGGTAACAGTCAGTACAGAATTTAAGCCTGTCACCAGCAACAGAGACCTAAGTTCCCAGCATCGATCTCCCTGCAGCCAGGAATTTCGGAGGGGCCGGAGAAACAGGAGAGTGTTCAGCATTGCTTAGGAAAGCAAACAATCCTACAGCTACCCTCCTATTTCCTCTGGCAAGAGCGAGTCAAGGTCTGAGCAACGATGCAGGTTCAGCTGACCCAAGGGAAAGCAGATTTTACAAGCGATGGCTTGAACAGAAGATAAGCAGCTCCCTGGGACAACCTGTGGTTTTGCCCCACACAAGGTAGCTGGCAGAATTACACCAATGGGAACTTGGAGATCTACAACTGACAGGCCTAAATTCTGCCAGCTTCTGTAGAACTGGCGCGCGAGTTTTCAACAACGCGACGTCAGATCACCGATCGACAGGGATTGCTTTTTTTCCCGATCTATTTATCAGTTCCCCCTCAGTCCTGTTAAGTCCGAGAAACCCAGAAACACAGCATAAACCTTTCACACTCAGCAACGATCAAAGGCAAGTGGAGAGAAAAAACCCACCTCCTTTACTAGCGCCTGCTTCCTTCACGTGGTTTACTCCAGATTATTCGTTTGATGTTAATAGCGCACAGGACAGCAAACCGCTCCGCACGTCTGTGTTCTCCACCACGCTTTGTCCTTGGAATGTATTCTGGCAGGCCAAGGAAAAACACCACAACCACCTCAGATTAATTAAGTAGCTTGATTGGTTGTGCCACCAACCACTTCCTTCAGCATCCGGTGACGAAACGAACCCCGGTATTTAATTAGCTGAAGAGGCACGCTGTTGCTATTCACAGTCTGCACTAAGAACCATCCTGAGGTCCCAAGGACATACCGACCTTCACCGTCTGAAACAAACTCATCTGCTAATTTTCACTTTGACCTAGAATGCTGCATGCACCCTCACGGTGTTGGGAGTGTTTCTGAAGCACGCAGGGATGTTCAAAATACTTACTCTAAAGCACGCACATCAAATTAAGTGGGACCTTTATTTTTCTTAGCGGTACAACCAGAAGAGCTCCATTTTACAGATGCTACCTCAGCGAATGATTTTTCAGTTCACCTCTATCCCTTGATTCATATTGGACAGACGACTGTCACCTCCAAATGGGTCAAGCGTTGAGGTATTTTGCATGGTGTTTGATGTGGTCATTAATAAACGTAGCAATGAAAAAATAGCTGTGATCATAACCCTGGAAAAGAACAACAAAAAAAGAAATCAGCAAATACATATAGTTCATGATAAAGCAACCATGCTGAGGTCTTTTCTAGGAAAGTTAATGACTCTTCTGGTTTGAGCTGGTTTAAGAGATCGAAAATACCTGCACTATATATAAAAACTGTAAAGGATACATAACTAACAGGTTAAGTACAGGAGGCTAAGCAAACAAAGTACCTTAACTTGCCCTAATCTGGGCATTTAATTAGAGATGGGGAACAGCAAGTGTCAGCTGCAGCGCGGGACGCGGTCGGAGAAGCCTTCCCCTCCCTGGCACTGCCCGACTGGTCACGCCCAGGGTGTACGGGGAACACAGCCCGGGGCCCAGTTCCTGCCCCAGCCCTGTGCTACAATCACACGTAAACCTCTGCACTACTCTGTCAGCACGGACTGAATCTTCTCACGCGGGGTTTATGGTGAATTAGAGAGGAGAATCCCTCGTTCCCCACGGCCAGGCTCCTCCCCTGGGCTTGGCTTGAAGTTGTCAGTCACTTGCAAAGACCCCGGGTGCTCTCCGGCCAGCGCTGCGCCGGGTCACCGCGCTGCAGCAAAGGGCAATCCTTCTGCCTGGTCTTTCACTGAACCGAAGATCTGAGGTAGTTCCACACCTTTCCCCAGTTACACAAATGCGTACAAACTAAATCACAAAGTTTTAGGCTAACCACAATCCCCATGGTACAGAGAAGGAATCCAGCAAAAGTACATCCCTTCGCTTGTACAGTGACTGTGATGCTTATTAAGAAATGATTAATGCTCCTTCCTCAGCTGACCACCCGCAGCTTGAGTTACCAGCAACAGATGAATCTGTTAAAACTAAAATCATCACCCCCATCTAGTGGCGAAATGCAGCTGAACCCGATGGGTACTGCACTCCTTGGCAGCTGACATGAAGGAAAATGTCACTTCTCACCCTCTTCCCCACCCGGCCACGGACAGACTCACAGGTAAGTGAGAGCCACCCCATGAAGTGACACTCTCTTCACGACCTGCCACAAAGACCCCAAAATCACCAAGCAACAACCCAACACTCACGGATTGCAGAAGCAACTTGCCTGCTGCAGTCGAAAGACGACTGGGATTTTCTGCTCTGTGCAGGCAGCGATGAAGTTATCAGGCAGTAACTGGCCCGCTGAGAGGAACTGGTCATCTTTGCCTTGATCAATCAAGATATCCAGGCGAGAGTCTGGATAGGACTTCACAAGCTGTGTAGCATCGTATGCCTGCAGGAATAAAAGCGAAACAACATTCAGTTACGTGCGTTAGCCTGGGTCAGATTTGCCGACCGCAAGGAAAGAATGGCACAGGTGGAATAGTGGATGATACCGCTCAGGACACCAAATCGCACTTCGGAAAAGCGAAAAACTGGGCAAATTCCAGACAACTGAGAAGTAATACCCATGTTCTGAAAAGAGCAAATGGTATGATCTTAAGTAATTACCAAGTTGGCAGTTTGACATCATTTCTAGACCAAACAAAACATCAAGCCCGGGGCTAAATTCATACAGAATCGAAGAACGGCAACATAATCCAGTGCCAATTCACACGCTTGTACAGAAACCAGATCCTGCCAAAATAACTTGGTATCTTGATGTAACTTTTTTGGCAGCTAAAGTTCAAAACACCGCTGTAACACACGGCAATTTTAAGCGGAAATAATGGAAATCAGAGGTTGTATATCTGTGCAAAGGCAGGTCTAAGTCTATTCCTGATGCCTGGTCTACTGGACTGTGCTTGGAGAAGAGCTCCAAAGCAAGTTAAGGGGCCAGAAAACATTTTTTTTTTTTTTTTTCCAAACTAAATTGATTAGGTAAAGTGTAAGCAAGCTTAACTGGTGATTTTTAAGTATACAAACTATTAATAGCTGTGAAAGCAGCTAGAGCTCTCCATTCCTGTAATATTTTATTCAGACCTGGATGTCTTCCGAAGAGATAATTTAATCCAATTTACAAGGGATTTAGCTGCAGCTTGTGTTTACTTGCAAGGAAATCAGAGTACCTTGGGCACAATGATCCCTTCTAACCTCGTTCTAGGGATATGGTGCAATGTGCAGTGTTGAAGGGCTGAGATTAAAAATACAGAAGGGCTGCCCAAGTAATGCAGCAACATGCACGCAAAGATTTTTCTATCTTAAACCATTCACCTGTGACTACTTATATTTCAAAATGAGGGTCTTGGAGCTAAAACCTAACCTTCCCTAGTTTATTATCCTGTTCTATGGGATACCAATTTCCAAGGATCCAATGCGCTCCTCTGCTAGCTGCCTCCAACAGGCAGCCCAGCAGATGCCATGAGGCTCATCAGTCTCTGATCAGCTTGTAGCAGTCTCTCTTTTCGGGCTACTACAAAACCCAGCTGTTTTGTATACTGAGAACTGAGATTTTGAGAAACAGGCCAGAGCCTAACTCTCTTTTAAACCGCTCACTGCTTCCGTGCAGTGGAGAAAGTCTCAGACTGCTCATAATTCTTCTTAGCCCAGATTTAAAGATCTTCATAAAAAAGGGAGTCAATTTGATGAGAGCCTTCTATCTCATTACATGTGTTACAAGCACCATCAGGCAACAGCAAGTCATACCCACCAGACACACACAGTGCTTATCCACGCTTAGGGATATAGTGAAACAGCAGCACCAGCTCAGGAGCACCCCAGAGTTTTGTTCCAGACTCCCACAGCAACGTATCTACAGGTCACTTATTTGTGAGTTTTTAGAGGACTGTGAGTTGCAACACGTACCTCCCATTTGCTCACATCTGATCCCAGATATCCACCGAGGGCTTTCTTCCCCCACTGACACTGCATAGGGTTGCAGATAGGAGCAAATGCTGATACAGACTGTTTGGAAAGAAAGCAAGGAAAAAAAAAAGGTAGGCATGCATTAAGAGAAGTGATTTCTGCTAAGTAACAAGCAAACTAAAAGCCTTTTCAAAAATTGTTTTAAAGTTACTGCCAGAACCCAGGACTCCCCCAACAACCCTCTGAGGTGCCCTAACCATTACCCTACTTCCCTCTTATTTGTTCTTTCTAGCCCCACAGTTTTGCTTTCCTTTTTGCACATCAGCCAAGGCAGGGCTAGATGCTCCGTTCCTTTCCTTGTTGGGAGATGTTGGCTTGAATTCCCCTAGGCAGCAGAGAAGGGTCTCAAGTCTACTGTTGCCTCAGCAGGGTCAGAACGTGAGACCATTTCACCTCCAACTGGATTTTGGCAGAGCACAACAAAAGCCTGAGGCATGGGGCTGCTCTGACAGCCTAAGCATGCAAGAGCATCTCATGAACTTAGGTACCGCCAGGATTAGGGGTTAAGAAAAGTGAATTTCAGATCACAACTCCAGGTACTGGTGTCGAAGTCCAAGCCCTATTCTTACATTCTTCTTTTGGATCTGACTCTGGGAAATCAGTATTCCCACGCTTGTGTCTTGCAAAAAAGAGCAACAAACCATCTAAACCACTGCCAGTTCTTCTGGATTTTGGTATTTTCGATTTAATGTTTAATTCTTTTAGATGATACAGTTCACAGTTAAGTGCCAACAGTAAAAATGGAAATGTTTGAACTACTCGCTCCAGAAGATAAAACGGAGAGAGAAAAATAAAGCTTTATCTTACATTCGGCTCAATTATAACATCAAGCTAATGACACTAAGCAAACATTAGGCTCTTTTCAAAAATGCAGTTCCCTTTTTGCAGCAGCTGACCAAAAAGTGTGCGCAGGGCCAGGACAGCCCATAAAGCACTGATCCACAAAGGCAGAGCCCCTTATCTCTCAAACACCAGTGCCTGATTCTCCCTCAGAAATGCATTTTACACAAGCGTATCTCCAAAGAGAACAACGAAATTCATCTCAGCCTTCATGAGTATAAAGGAAAGGCAAAGCAGTTCCATCGTGTTTGGTTGAGATTCAAGCAGAATACAAATTAACGCAACTTCAGCTACCTCAGATACTCCAAAAATCAATCTTTAGGAAAGCTGACATGCAAACCTCGGCAGGGGGGAAAAGAAGCCGGGGGGGGGGGGGGGGGGGATGTCCTCCAAACAAAAAGCTGTAGCATCATTTAAAAGAAACTGAACTTTTTTAAACTTCTAAAATTCGCAGATTTTTTTTTTTAATTTCACTGATACTCACATTCCAGAGTGGTGTTTCTGGCAGTTTTCCATATTCTAACTAGGTATCAATGAACTGCTACAACTACAACTATTTATACATTTAATGCTATAACAGAACTTGGTATTGTGTTTTCTTTCTTCACTTCTATAGAAATCTGTATAAGCCTTAGTATACCTTATATAAGCTGTATTATATCTTACTTTGTATTTTCCAGGATTCTTTAGAGCAAGAATAAGAGCTCCATGTCCTCCCATGGAATGCCCAAAAATAGACATCCGTTCAGGGTCAGTTGGAAAATTGGCATTTATTAGTTTAGGCAGCTGTAAAGGAACAACAGTGTAATAAAAACGTTAAAGCACCTTCAGAATGTTTAGGAAGAATAGCACACAAATAACTAATGTGTTTTAATGCCAGGAAGCCACTGAAACCAAAGGAACATCTTTGGTTCTAGCCCGAAATTTGTGATCATGGCACGAAAGCAATTGGAATGAGACTGTAAAATCAAAAGAAAACAATTAATCTGATAATAAGTAACTCAAAGTACCTCTATAGAAACCTAGCATAAAACTGTAACAAAAGATGTGGGAATTTCCTAATAAACATAGTCTTCTTTTAATAGATACATAAATATGTATATGCTCCTGTAAGTGACCAGAAGGGCAAATTGTCCATGGGAGATGACTTGCTCCCCATATTCCCATCAATTTCAGATTTAATCCAGACCACAAGAACCACATGCAGAGCACGCTGGACACTCACCTTTCCACTATGTATCTCAAGGGTCTACTTTTACATCCAGTTAAAGAAAACAGAAACAAAACTACCACCCCGCTCTCCCAAGACAGGCAGTGAGAACAGTCTAACCGAGCAATACAGCTCAAGTACTGGCGCAGTGAAACGCAGCGGGTTGTTTCAGAAGCAGAAGAGCAGAGATTTTACAAGAGCAGAGACTGCACAACTAACAAATCAAGATTAGAAGCGCAGGCCATGCCCGTGGCATCTCTGGCAGGAAAGCAGACTCAAGGAGCTCCTGCTTAAGCCCTGCCAGGTGTTATTATCTCTGTGCTGTGATTCACTCCCTCCTCAGTTCTACGACGGTAACTGCTTGGTGAGGGAAGGCCTAAAAGCTAGATAAATCCAAGCACTGAAATAATCCAGGATTTTAAAAGAAATAATAAATTATTTTTATAAGGGAGGAAAGCAAGAAAACGACAAACCATCTATAGGCTATTAAGATCACCTTAAGTAAGCTTTGGTGCTAGGAACAAAGAACATGACTGAACCCCACCCCTTATCTTACCCAACACCACCAGGAGAACCCAGCAGCAAAGTTACCTCATCCTTTATGTAGGAATACATCCTATAGTTTGTTTTCCAAGGATCTTCAGTGGCATCCACATAAAAACCAGCACCGGTGCCAAAATCCCAGCTTTCATCTTCCCCTTCGATATTGCAGCCACCTACCATGAAAATTCTTTCTATAGTTACTGTAAGCCTTTCCTTCACTACATGTTCAGAATTGAAGAGCCTGCCATACAAATCAGCGACTCGGGACGTGAGCTTCTCAATCAACAAGTCTCTATGACGATTCAGATTTTCATTCATTAGTACAGTGCTTTCAAGTGCTATTTCAACAATGCTTTCAAAATGCCACTTACGTGTTACCTACAGATACATCCGACTGACAACTTGTTTCAGTATCCCTTCATAAATAAACATAACATACAGATCTCTCCTAAACTAAATCTGTAAAGCTTTGTCCGATTTACCCAAGGACTTATTCAAAAGCCGGCACTTGTAATTGCTGCTATCAGCTTAATTCAGTTACTAGACCTCATCCTGTCAAGTACAAGAAATTATGTGAGAAACAGAAACCGTGCAAAATTTTCTTTCCCCCAAGACAGAACCACATATCACCAAATGGTGTGTCCAGAGCAGTTTATGTGCTTCAAATAATGTCTGCTACACCTCCTTTTTTCAGATTCAACGGCATAATAACATTTACTGTTCCTATCATTTTTAAGTTTAGAACTCTACTTTTTCTGCAATTCATTTCATTGCTCCCACCTATAACTCCCCACAAAACTTCAGTAATGTCTTCTTTGAGTAACTGCAGGGTTGTATCCTCTTTTCCAAGGCTACACTTTCAAACTAAATTTGCAGATGTCTCCTTGAAAGTCAATACATCACATCCAGTGCTCTCTTACTCTTCCTTTGATTAGCCTGTGATTTACCGGCTCGGTTTGGAGAACAGAATGTAATATTTCAAGGTATATGTGACAGGAAATAATGGCCTTCCTTTCTTCAAAACTTCTTAGTTTCTGCAATCCAAAATTACATGGGCTTTCACCACCATCAGATTACACTGCAAACCCATGTGTAATTTGGCAGTCCCCGAAAATTTGTGCAGATACCTGCCACCCTATCACAGTGTGAAATCAGATTTTAACAAGGATCAAAGTTGAGTTTGCTCCAGTGACGTGGCCTTGGACACTGAGTGATTTTGTTACTTAACAGTCCAAAAGTCACAAGGACTGGGGTTGCTTACCCAACAAGTTGGATATAAAGTCTACTTCCAGTCCCTCAGAGATACACAAAAACTCAGAAAGTTCTGCCAGGCAATGAAGGCAATGCCGATTCTGCTAAAAGAAACTTAAAGAAAGCCTTGAAAAAAGAAACTTGAAAAGGAACCTGCAAAGTTCTGCTCAACACATCTGCCTGGAAAAGCAAACCCCTACAAAGAGGGAAAAGTAAAGTCTATCAGGGCCTGATAGAGGGTCTGTAATGACAGGTATTTCATATTTTCATGCAGTCTTTTCCCCTGTCCAGATACATCCCCTAGCTCCTGGAAGACAATTCTCATGTAGTCGTAACTATATGTTTAAAAAATAGATATAAGCCTTTTCACTACCCATGCTTAGATCTCTTAGTTTGTGATTACATTTGAACCGCTCTTCACTTGTTTCTCCAGACAGCTCAAAGAGATTTAAGGACATTTGGGGTCTCTGAGCTAAAGTCTAAGAGTATAATATGAAACACATACTGAAGTTCATCTAAATAGCAGAGCAATCCTGATCACCTGTTAGACTAAAAAGCAAGAGAGAAGCTGCAAAGAGGGTTTTTACAGAAAATGGACAAAGCAATGAACTATGCAAATGCAGTTACACACCGGGAGAGACAGCTTACACAGACAACACTAAAAACAAGTCCCAGCAAAATTACCCAATGGGCATAATGCAAAGACTAGTTGCCCATCTGTAGTCTGCAGCAAACAGCAACAATGAAGTGTAAAGTTCATTAATACAGAAGTTTTGCTCTTCTGTTCCTCTTCTTCACTAGAAACATGCGTCTGTTCTTCGACCTGACACAACTTTCAAAACCTAGATCTGAAAAATATTTTCTGGAAAGAACATCGCTTCATTCCCATATTACTTCTGTTCAGATCTGACCCACTACAGCCTGGGAAATATTAGAAGACTGCCACTTTTGTATACAGCACCCATGAGACTTTAGAAGAATCCAGCAAATTCTAAACATAATACACTGAATCCCCAAAAGACTGTCTTTCCAGTAACTGCAGACCCACCATTTTCAGGTTTCCCATACCACACACAAGCTCAACCTTATACAAATAACAGCACATCATTTTAAAAAACTGTTCATCAGTAGTCTATTGCAGCTGCAGGGAGGGGGGAAGGATTTCTGGATTGCTTTTCTAAGTATTAGAATCCCCTGGAGACATGTATTTAATTGGCTTTAGAAGACAGAATACAACAAAGAATAAACATTACATTGCCATGTGACAACACCGTTCTGCAGATTTTGTAAAGTCTCAGCAAGCCACAAAGTGTAGGCAAGTGTCTCTGATGGCACGTGCCTCTTGTTGTCCTTTTCTTCCCTCTGCTCCTTCATGCTGAACTCAGTGGCCCCTTTGTTCTAGTTTTAGTGCCATGACAGCAAGAGTTTCAGATGTCAAACCTTCACTACCACATTATTCAGAATACAGACAATATAATCTAGCAAACAATGCAAGATACAGAGGTGAGGTCACATTCTGACTCCAGTGGGCAACACACTGTAGCAAACTGCAGCACTCTGTTCTTTGAGGATAAAGGCAGTGTACTTCAGCGTAACGACCGTTATCGTGTCTTGTTAAAACTTACGTGGGCTTGTGTCTGGCGCAACTACAATAAGGCCATGTTCAGCTGCAGCTTGGTGAAAACCAGCTTTCGTTATAAAATTCTGTTCTGTGCAAGTTAACCCTAGAGAAATACAAATATCACTGGTTACACATTGCTCACAGCACACCAGTTTCAAAACCTCTTTGACAGAAAAGGTTTTGAATAAACAAGAGGGATTCCCATCTCCATGAAGGTGGAAAAGTCTTTTCAACAAGACTTAATAATCCACAGAAACACAGTTGCACTTTCACATCTAGTCAGGCTAACATTTAATCAAAACCAAGTCACTATGTATCCTGTACCCCCCTGAGCACCTACCCATGTGGCATATCGAGTTTCCTCAAGTACTGTGTATTTAAATCCACCGACTACAGGCACTGCTGCTAAGGTTAACATCGTTAACTTCTGATCTAACCCTGAAACTGCATTTCGATCTCCACCACCGTTTCAGCCGTTTGCATTACAGAATTATACATGTGGTCTGACAAATCCTACATCCTTCAGACAGGATAAAGGGCCGTAAGCACTCTGGCTCCAAAACCCACAGCAATCCATTTTCTTTTGTACTGTGGCAGGCCCAACTGAAGTCCAATTGCAAATAAATGATACTACACACCAATATCTCAATTTTTCTTCACTGTGCTATTTGAGAGGGGTTAATGATTCTAGTTTTCCCTCAGGACAAGTTCCAAATAACCTAATTTGACTGACACGCTAGCCAAGACAGCATAGTTTAGATTCAAAAAATAAATGTGCTGCATGACCCAAAGCTCTTCACATGATTTTGATGCTTCCAACTTCAAGGGTAAACACTTTTACCCAGTTCAGTGTCATTCCACAAATCAGACCTATTAGCTATTTTGTGAAATGAATACATACAAGGAATATAGTCTCCACACTACCCGTCAGTTCTCCAACTTTCTTAACACAAGTCTCAATAAAACAACTCCTAAAATTACAGGACCGAGCTTCTGCTTTTCATTTTGAATAATAGGAAAAAAAAAAAAAAATCCTGGAGCCATCACAAACATAAATCTGACCACTTTGAAAGCAATGCTTAACATTATTTATCCACTTTTGATTCAAGACCCAGCTCTGTGGGAGATGGCAGGAATGGGCTGGAGGAACAAAGCCAGGATAACTGGGAACACATGTTTGCCCGTAGTCTCGTCCCAGCTTGCCTTACATCCAGCAAGACAGCAGCTGGACAGGACACCGCAGGGGCTGGAGAGATGAAGAAACGATGCTGTGGATGGGATAACTTCACTCCTGCCACACAACCCTCTTCAGCCCCTGGCCCTTTCTGATCCCACAGGGTTACCTCACTCCAGATGTGCTTGTGCCAGCGCAGCTAACAGCACCGCCCTTTCCAAGTTCACCAGTTGCTCGCCGCAAAATAGCACTCAGAATAATGTGGGGCCCAGAGGACAAACTTGCTGGCTCCCATGGGCTGGATTTTACCCCCTATCCTGTTAGCTGAAGCAGTCTGTCATAGACAGAGGGAAGCAGGTGGTGTCCCAATGGGAAGGCCTTGCAGGAAACCCTTTAAATATATATGTTTTAGAACAAAAAGTATGTACATTTTAGAAAGAAAGGGTAGAACATTTTGAACATTGAGTATTTTAGAACACAGGCTGGTAGGCTACCCCCTCTGGCCATCTGCATTCAACTTTACCACAACACACTCAAAAGTAAACGTGTATTCCAGAAGATAATCTTTTGTAGGATGCAAGAGCTGCCACTGTAGTACCTCTACATCAAGTTTTCAGTAACTGTAGAGCAGTAGTTTAAACATGCTTAAAATTCTATTTTTTAAGTTACTAAAACTCATGTTACTTACCTGAGAGCCAATACAGCACAGGACACTTTCCAGTTTCTGCTTTTGGAGGCAAGTAGATTCCAAATTTCATTTTGCATTTTAGCTCTGCACTGTATTAATAAAATACTCCTTGTTATCACCAGTACTTAATTAGCAAGGTCATTAACGTTAAAAAAAGAAAATTAAATTTCGTTCAAAGGGAGACTTGGTCAGTGAATTATAACATCTAAGTTAAATAAAGTCAAAAGCTATTGCAAAACTCAGCTTTAGCCTCTTGAATTGACAACAGCTAACCTTCCCACCTTGTTCTGAATACACTTAAAACAGACACAAATAAGCCACACTTTTGCAGAGCTGCTATCCAGGAACAGTTTGAAAATTGAATTTTGAACCCCAGAAATATTAATCTTGAGCTTTGTCTATTAAATTGGAAAGTAATTTTTACTGAAGAACACATCCACATAACTTCCAGAACATGCTGCACAGTGTGCACCAGCAAGAGACGTTTTCATTCTGCTAAGTCTACAGACTAACCGATTGTCCAATTAATACTAAAGCCTAAAATTGTCAATAAAAGCTTATGTAAGCATAACTAGTGATTTTTTTTTTCCTTTGGATCAAATGACAAAAAACAAATGTTTTTCTGTTTACCTTCCTCACACAAAAAACTATCTACTGGGTCTGTCTGCTCACAGAGTTTTATGAGTGTATGGAATTGAAATGTCCAGCAGAGTGAATGGAACTTTGTACAGACGGCATTTCTCTGTGCTGCAAACAGGACAACCCAAAGTAATGGAGCTTCACCTTCAAAGGTAAAAATACTGGCTTCCCATCCCAGATCTGCAGCACTAAGTTTACTAAACACGTTAAACATTAACACAGAAATACAAGAACACAGCCAAAGCAGCACCAGACAGCATTCCTTAGTGAAATATATATATTAGTGAGATCACACCATTTTTCTGCAAACTGAGAACACTGGTAGCAATGACAGCATGGATTCACTGCCCCATGTTAAGCATCTGTGTTGTTTTTGTAGTGTTTACCTGTCATGTTCAAATACCTTCTGGAAACCCTCAAAGCATCTGTTGCTTGAAACCTGCTTCAGCGCCATGGTTTTAACTGCAACAAAAAGAAGCAAGTTAAATTTGAAAATAAAACATTCCTGGACTTATAGCAAGTTACGAGAACAGAAAAGTCAAATACAACTTAAAGCATGTTTGTTTAATGCCACAATGCTTCAGAAGAAAGAACCTCCTGCAAACATTCTGATCTTTCACGAAGTTTCTATTGCCCCAAAGAAATGGAGGGGAGGGGGAAACAACTCCTGCAAGCAGAACTGCCAATGCCTTCCTGCTTTCCTGCAGACCCAAATCTCCTAATCACCTCTGCCTCTGCAGTAACCACAGCTCACGCTTTGTCTACCCCAAAGTCACGGAGTCCTGGGAGTTTTAAAACAGCTGGGAGTGGACTCATAGCAAATGTAGCAAAAAAAAAAAAAAAGGTAAGGAAACTCAGGGCAGCTGACACCAATGCTGTCAGGTTGCACGGACAGGTAGGCAGCCAAAAGGGGTAGAGGCCTGATAGGTCGGCACACAAGAAAATCCCGAGGAGAAACCAGGTCACCTCGGGCCAGGTAACAAACGTTCAAAATGAAAACGCTTCCCTCCCCACCTCGTACCTCTGCGCTCCTCGGCTGCGCCGGGCAAGAAAACCCCCGCACCACGGACGGCCCTCAGGGCCTGTTGGTTGTCTTCGACCGCCCCCGTGGGGCTGCAGCCGAGGGGCGCCCACGCAGCGCTGCGTTAACACGGCAGCGCCCACCCAGGGGCCGCGGGAGCAGCGCCGAGGGCCCCGCCGCGGCTCGGCTCCCCCCCACCCCCGCCTCCCGCCATTTTTGTTTCCACACAACCAGCCCCGCCCGCTGCAACCACAGCGCTCTCCCGTACCTCCACCCTCACCCTCCCGCCTCCGGGCCTACCCCCCCCACACACACACACAAACACACAGGCAGCGATCGCTCCCCACCTCGGCCGCCCGCTGGCTGGGCCCGCAGGGGCCGCCGCCGCCCCGCTCTCCCCGCAGCCAGGCCGCGGCCCGCCCCGCGCTCCCCGCCCCGCCGCCCTTCCCTTCCCCCGTTCCCTCACCCGCCCCGGCCCAGCTCAACGGCCCGGCCCCCGCGGGGAGCTGGGGGTGCGGGTGTGCCGGGACTGTGGGAGCCGCGGGTGCTGCCTTCCTCCCTTCCTCCTCCGCTTCTCCAGCTCTTCCGCCCAGGGCCGGAGGGGAGCGGCAGCGTGCCTGCGGCCTTGGCGCCTTCCCGCCCCGCTGCTGCCGGAGGCCGCCTCCCCCGCTCCGAAGGAGAAAATCTGAACTCTAAAATGAAGAAAGAAAGAGCAACTTAATCCAGAGAATCTGGTAACAGTGAGCCAGCCGAAGCAGCAAGTATTTGTTAGGATTGTTCTTCCTCGACCACCAAGACCTCAAGAAAGTTGCTGAAGCGGCCAGAACTTGGACCCCCATATCATTACATTTTTAATGTTTTACCTCCCCTCAGCATTTTAGTGTTCTTCATAGCAGCTGCCACACGATGGACTCCTGATTTTATTGTAAAACCGAATCTAGTTTAGGTAGTTTTTGGCATAACGGCTCACTTGGGAGATCACAAAGCAAAGAAGATACTTGTCAATGTTTTTATCTTATTCATAGCCCAAATTCTTCCCACTTCCTGCTGTTAAAGGGTCTTTTTTTTTTTTTTTTTTTCTCCTTAAATTTTGCAGTTAAACATGCCCATTGGTTGCCAAAAAAGTGTCTGCAGTAAAGCACTCTCCCTCTTTTTAGTCTCGTACCATGTACTGCTTTAGCAGTAACTATTTTTGCCCATAATGTTTTGCAGTCTGATCATCTGCTACTTTGCCGAAGTGACAATAGTTCATTTCTATTTTCAATCCCTAGTTCGAGCAAGGCACGGTACCGACAACTTTGTCCCTCCGTTACTTTCTACTCTTTCCCAGCAGGTGCATTTGGACTGCAGCTGCTGGACGCTGGACCTGGGCCACCCATCCTGCCTTCCAGAGCAGCTTTCTTACCCTTCTCTACTTGGATATAGCTGGCACAAGTAGTCTGTCTCTGAGCTGTTTAAACTTTCTTATAGCACTTTTTGTTTTGCAAGCCTGGCATAATTTGCCATTAATCAAATTAAAATCTGTTTCTTCACTAATATTTCTCAAACACTCTTCAGGTTGCTCTTTACGTTTCTATCTGCGCGTTTTGTAGCTCTCTTAATGTCCTACTCTCACTAGCAAGATACTGCCCAGTTAGTTTGTTATTTGATCTAAACTTCATCCAGCCAGTTTTCTCTCTTATATATGTGTTCAGCTGTCATTGCACACGTCTCATTTTCCATGGTATCTGCAATTGTTTTTAGCTGTTTCTCTCTTGTCAGTATAAAACCTGCCAACCTCAGCACTGATGCTGATGAGATTTTGATGTGTTCCAGGTCTTCTTATCCAAGTTCCTTAGATAGCCTCTGTCCAATTCACTCCCATTTCTGTGTGACCTAGTCAGACGGATCCAACTGGCAGCCTGATGATGAGTTTACATGGCCTCCCTCCATCTCCATGACATCAAGATACAAGTATTATTTTTTATGTCTGACTGAACTAAATGCGTAGGTAAATAATGTGAGACTTGTGTTGCAGTCTTTCAGAGAGCTGTTTTCGTGGCACACAGCTGAGTGTGTGTTGCATATAGGAATGTATGAAGTGGAAAACACACCGAGATAGTGTCAACGGCAGCGTAACGTAGAGGCAGCCAAGCCGGTACAGTCTCTTCTGTGCTGTGGTATAGATCTTTCTAGTATCTTTGGCTATGCATATTTGTTTCACCTTAATGCCATTTCTGTGTCCTTTGAGACAGTGTCTGCATCTGTCACCAGTGAATTCATTTTGGTATCATTCTGCATACCGTTTTAAATTATCTGTAAAAAAACAGATGTGTAATGGGCTTCCTATCCTTCAGCATTAAATGGCTTCTCTTTAGATGGTGCAGCAGGGCAACCAGTAGAAACTATATTAAAAGAAAAGAACGACAGGTACTTGCTTTGGAAAATCTCTTGGTTTACATACTATTGCCTTGCATATTACTTTATTGTTGTATTCCAAGTAGAATGCATACTTCTCCAAGACTCTCTGTATCTTCCTCCTACACGGACAGTACTTTCAACTATTTTACTGCCGATTTAATCCAGTGGTGAGATATGTTTTCACATCATCTACCTAGCATCTCTTTTGGCATCTATAAGAATGGCTTTGTATTCTGTCAGAAGGGTTTTTTGCCTTTTCACTACATTTTCACCATACTTTCTGTACTTGGGGGGAACATACCATTGGTGTCAACCCACTCATACACATTTGTCCTAAAGCTTCCAGCAAGAAACTTCCACATTGTAGGCAAGCAACCTGTATGTCTTAAGCTTATAGTACCAAATTCTTCCTTTCCCGTTTTCTTTCAGTAAGAACAGTCCTTCCCTCAGCCATGCATCTGGGTGTATCCTTTTCCAATGTTTTTGTTGTGATAGTCTGAATTAAGGATGGTAGTTGCTGGCCTCTTCTACTTAATAGCTGTGGATTCCACCTCCTGCTAGTTCTTCTCAGTCATTTTTTCTCAAATTTTTGTATGTGATCTCATCTTCGCTTTGGTTATTCAAAACACTGAATTCACACTTCACTGTCTACTTTGCCAGGAGATTATTTATATGTTGTTCTTTTCTGTTAAGAACATTTCCAGTGTTCTTTATAGTAATTTTTCATAATTTAGTCACTTATGATTCTAATGTCATATTTGTCCAAATTGTCTTAAACTCTCTTATACCACGCTATTGGTCATTTCCAAGCAACATACGTGGCTGCTAACAGTACTATCCATCCCTCAGTATATTTCATGCTGACTGTATTGACACAATGTGCTTCAAGTCTTTAGCTTTCAAGGGAGAAACTTTACATGAGGAGAAAAAGAATTTTCTGCCTCTTTATTGTTATGGATTTATTTTTCTATTTATTTCCCCTTCTTTACCACATCCATCTATCTTACGTTTTGTCTTAGATGGAAGTTAGATCTTTGAAAGTTTCTTTTTTTCCTTTTCCTTTTCCTTTTCCTTTTCCTTTTCCTTTTCCTTTTCCTTTTCCTTTTCCTTTTCCTTTTCCTTTTCCTTTTCCTTTTCCTTTTCCTTTTCCTTTTCCTTTTCCTTTTCCTTTTCCTTTTCCTTTTCCTTTTCTTTTTCCTTTTCCTTTTCCTTTTCCTTCCATACTGTCAAGATTTCACTTGGGTGCAACTTGTCATGTCATTAACTGCTGTCCCTTCAAGGCAGTTCTTTACTTTTTCCACAACTTGCCCAAAGTGCTTTTTAGCCAACAGAACCCATGGCTGAGGCTAGAGACAACACACCGTCACTTATTTTATCTGCCTACATTGAGCTATTTTCTTTTTTGCTCCAATTCTTGCTTTCCTTATTTTTGTTTGTTACAAACTTAGTGTGTCATTTGAGTCCATAGGTCTTTTGGGGAAACAGCATTGTCTTTTGGTCTTGCTTGCACTGTAATGCAGGTGATGCTAGCTGTTTCCTCTTTTTGTGTTCTTTACAAGTTTTCTAATTCTATAGGAAAAAATATCCAGTCTGTAGTAAGAACATAATTTGATTAAACAGATCAGCAAATGGAGAAGTTTCCCTCAGCAGCTTTGTGAATTTGTCTTTGATCAACTTACACAATCTCTTCTGTGGGCAGAGATGATTTCTAGATCAGCAGTTGTCTTTCATCATTCTGCTTATCAGTCTAGCTCCCTTGGCTTCTCTTTAATTTGGCCATATCTTGTATTGGTGTTTCTGCAGCACTGATGATCTGAAATGGCCTCAATAGCTCTGAGCTGCTATGAAGTTGGGTATGTTCATGAATCCTCTTTGTGAAGAGACTGCAGGAAATACATACACACAAGGTTTGCAGTTTCAGAAATAAGCCATTTGTGATAAGAAATTAGAAAAAGTGGGTTTTGAAAAAAATTATTTGTCTCTGTCGTGGTTTGAGCCTGGTCGGTAGCCAACCACTGCAGCCGCTCACCCACCCTTCCCACTCCCCACCTGGGAATGGGGGAGGTAATTGGAGGGGTAAAGGGAGACTCGCAGGCTGAGATAGGAACAGTTTAATAATGGTAATAAAATGAGAACAATGACAATAATAGGAAGAAAAATATAAACGGGCAACGCACAGTGTAATTGCTCACGACCCGTTGACCAATACCCGGCCCATTCCTGGCCAGTGATCCTGAAATACCAAGATCCCGCAATCGCAATTCGGGAAGCGAGAGAGAGAGAGAGAGAGAGCTCCTTCCCGACCACCCCTCCTCTGTATAGTGAGCATGACGTTCCATGATATGGAATATTTCACTGGCCAGTTTGGGTCTGGTGCTCTGTCCGTGCTCCCTCCCTGCTCCCTGTGCCCTTGCGCACGGGCAGGACATGGGGAGTCGGAGAGTCCTTGAAGTCTCGGTAGCAGCAGAAAACACCAGTGTGCTATCAGCATTCTTCTCATACCAAACCCAAAGCTAAATCCAAAACACAGCACTCTTCTAGTTACCAAAAAGGAACATTAACTCTATTCCAGCCCAAACCAGGACAGTTTCTGGAGCACTTAAAGCACTGAAAACTTTTCCAGGGAAAAAAAACAAGCATGCTTCTTTTATTACAGTAATATGAGTAAGAAATATTAGTTATACTTTCTTATCATTTTAGAAAATGAAAAATTAAGCACATATTACAACTGATACTAAATCCAGTGAGGTATATGTGTCTGGTAATTCTGAGAGGAGGTATTTTCCTCTCAATGCTTTACAATTAAAAATGAAGCAGTCTAGCTTTTTTTATGGTAAATTCATTGCACGTATTTGTAGCATGTCTTTTGTTTTCTATTTCTTTCTAGTACAGATTAATTTTGAATTTACCAGGAGTCTGCTTGTTTGGGAAATTTTTCCACATACAGTTTTAAATTCTTCATATTGGATTTACTGAGCTTTTGAATTCAGATATCCAACTAAAATTTGAGGTATAATTGCAGCTAAAGAAAGATACTGGCTGATAGGAATGTGATAGTTAAGATCTAATTTAGAGAATACCAAAGCACAAATTTAAATTTCATTTCAGCCAATAAATAATTTAGTAGAACATTAGGGCTTGACCTAACGGGAGTCTCAAGGAGAGGTGGAGACATAGATGCCATTTGTTTAAGCTTATGGTTGTCTTTCCCCAGAAGACAGAGTTTTCTTTAGGTCCGAGGGAATAAGTTACGATCAGCAAT